TTCTCTCTCTCTCTCTCTCTCTCTCTCTCTCTCTCTCTCTCTCTTTCTGTCTCCGGTCAGCCAAAATTCATATATAAACTCGACTACGTTATTGGTACACATGGGAAAAAGGTCTTTGTTCGCGGGAGATGAATAGACCAAAAACTCACCCGTGTGATGCTGGGAACTTGGTGAATGCCGGGAGCATGGCATTTCGTACGTTCGAGAACAAACCAAACATGAGGGCTCCAATATGAATAACTATACAAAAAAATTGTAGTCTGTGCAAAAGGACCATTTTTTCGGATGACCAAATTACAGCGCATAGAGGATGTGTGACGGCTTTAATTGTCATCCTTTGCACTCGAAATTATTTCTGATAATTCCCGATATTGTCAAAAGATTTATGCGACATGTCCCTGAAAAGATAGACAAGATAGACATTTTAGAAAACAGAAATTCACTCGATCGAATAGAATTCTTTTTTCCCGATTTTAATTTAAAATTTTCACCTTTCGTACGCTTCAAACAATATATTATTTAATTTTATATAGAATTTATAAGAATATCTATCGCGCAGATTTTATTATATGTCTCTGTTGTGCAATGTCGCACGATGAAATGCAAGGAGTGCAAGGAGTTAAACTAGGAGTAAAAAGGCGTTGTCAGATCACTCACATCTCGTGGGAAATGGTACAAAACGTCTGACGCTTATAAAATGTTGTCGAGTGCGGCGAGAGATAGACGAGGCCCTTCGTGCTGGTCGGATACTCCGTGAGGGATGATGAGGGGAATCCGTCGCGAGTCACGATGCTCGTTCGAATACTACGAGGAAAACTCGGAGAAAGTCGGCGAGTCGCTGTAGCTTAAAATCTGCTCCTCGGGGCACGATCCCTCTTTCCTTGCGCGCGCCTCTACTCTCTCGGAGATGCTGCTGATCGCGGCTTCGATGCGATCGCTCGGCTCGAAAAGGAAACAAAAGACATTAGGAATTGCGACGCCCGTCGTCGATGTAAAGCCGTAACGAGCGTAACAAAGCGCTGACAAAAAAAAAAAACGATAAAAAGCAAGTTGTTAAATTACAAGTTGTAATCGCTACTACGAAATGCTGGAAATGCAGCCACGACGAAGCGTCAGAAAAAAAATTTTAGCGGCAAAAGGAGGGGGGGGGGTGGACGTTTCCGGTAGCGCAACTAAACGAACGCTGGCAATTGCAGAGCTCATAGGTTTCAGCCAAAAGTTCCAACTTTTTTTGAGTTGGAAGCCAGAATAAATATTCTGAAAGCTCGGCGCATCAAGCGATAGATCAGAGAAGGGACAGGACTTCTCAATCTCCTGTAAAAGCTAGCGAGAGAGTCTCAGCTATGCTCGATTAG